TTAGTATAAGCTAGTAACAACTTGTCAATAATTATGGGATGATTTGTAAGCATAAGATTGTTATGTAAACTTCGTTCATTAATGGAATACAGTGCAATGATGCTAGAATAGTAAGAATAGTAAAAAAAATTCAGCTAATGTCAGTTGCCCGTGCCATGTGAGCCGGCTACAGAACCAAAACAATCTGTCAGCCTTCGTCGCCCACAGCATCGATATGATTTTATATTGCATAGAAATGAACACTAAATGCAGCTATCCCAGTCAGCAATCGGATCATCAATCTTAGTGGTCCGTAAGTGAATGTTGTCAAGTTCGAGAGTGTGTTTTAACGTACAGCGACATGAACATTATTGCTACAATTTTGGGCTTGAACATGTTCTATATTCACCCAAAACAAAAACGAACCTGAAACAATGTAGCTGTCCGATCTAAATGACCTGCGTCTATGAAAATCGAGTCTTATCTCCCTTGCGTTTCTGATCGACAGAAAGTAAGGGCCAATCTACAATGATTGTTCGCTTATCATCAATTCACAAAGGTCAAAAACATTTTTAAACGTTTTTGAAACGAATCAATATTCTAGTTATCTCTGGTGCGACTGCAGTCTTTAGAACAAACTTGAGGGACTGTAAAATGCAATTTATGGTACGCGACTTAAAAACGCAATTTACACGTGAATTTCCCAACAAACGTTTAAATGTTTTAGTTGTACATGTATGTGGTGTGGCACTGGTGTGGAAAGCAGTCGAATAAAATGGCGACAACCTTCGAACGCATTGTTATGCTAATTTGTTTTTCCGGCATGTTAGTTGACAGAGAAATTTTCGGCGATAGCTATGTGGATTTGAACCAAAATGTTATCGGCAAGACTCAGAATACTGAAACGTAATTGAAGGCAAATGAACACGTCAAGCAAAAAAATTACTTTTTCCAGTCGTGACGTGAAATGGATACTTATACCATTTTGACTCAGTTGATTTGAGGGTGTCACAATAAGCGAGGGAGTAAATCGTTTTTATGCTACGAAAAAAATGAAGACCTTGAACGTACTTTTTGGACTTTAGTACAACGTCATTTTTGTTTGATTACCTAACGTTTTTAGGTTCATGTGCTGTAAGTTACAAAGCACTTACCTAAGCGGCCGTCCCTCAGAAAATAATGAAGCAAAGGCATTTTCAATGTCAAAATCGCGAAACTTGCCCTTTTCACACAAACTGAGAAGTTTGAATTACTAAACAAAGTACAGGACGACGAAGATAAAATATCCAAGAATCAACACATACCAAAAATTATATCACAAAAGTGAATATATATTCGTGGTGTATTTTAGGTCTAACCAGACCGGAAGTGGAAATTTGTTAGTACTCTAAATATCCAAACATATTTTAGTATAAGGTAGTAATTATTATTTTCATTTCTTGGATGCTTTGAACTACACGTAGCATAAATTGAAATCTATGTACTAGTACACTAAAGGATATCTCTGTAGGTCTGTGAATGTGCTTGTTTTTATTGGGACCTTGTCGTCAATAGCCTTGCATGTGGGCGTCAGTAGGCCCACGCCGGCCGAACGGCATCTGACCTCACTATTAAAGTGTGTTGGGTTTGGAGCGGCGCGGAAGGCGCAACACACGCGGCCTCGTCAGGCATCAAGTACAAATGAAGAAAAAAAAAACTCTAAACAGCCGTGTACACGGAGTAATGAAAAAGGATTACACAATACATGTAGTACTACATCGGGTTCAGGGTCCGGACTGTACACCGACGTTGCCGTTTATCCCGACCACCGTCCCTCAACACCTTGAGGGACGGTGTCCCGACCTAATACGTGCTGGGTACACGGTGTCCGTCTTTAAACAAACTGTAAACCATGTTTACTCACCCGTTTTGAACGCAATCCAACAAGCACAAGTCGAGACATTATATTTTAAGAAAATTTCATTATCACTGTGCGTTTCGGCCGATATTTGAATGAGAGCTTCAACTACTAAGTTACTCCGTGGGCGCCGCCATGTTTGTTTAGGGTCCCCTATCGAACTTAAAATAATCAAGTTTGATTGGCCGAACACTTTGGAAAGAATTCCTTTTTCAAGAAGGCCAAACCAGAAAAAAAAACATAAAAAAAAAGTACATGAGTGTTATTAAATTTAATGTTTTGCCAGGTGAGTTTTTACGTTATTTAAGAGAGATAGGATACAGTAAATGACAGTCATTTGATAAATAGCTGTTGCAGCTAGTTTTATAGCCCACCTAATATGTTTGCCTTGGAAAAGAAAGCCTTCGATTCAAAAGATTGATAAAAGACGTTTTCGTTTTGTAAATACATGTATAGCGCTTCATCTAAAATAACATTATTTTAATTAAAATCGCCTGTGAAATGCCAACCTACACAATTGTGTTTTTAGTTTATGTTGCCCAGAAATGGATATGTGTAAAAAAAAATTAAATAATAAATCGAGTAAAATTGAAAAAAAAGATTACGAGTTGTAGCCATCTTGGCTTCCCATCGACTGTTGGGGAAACCTGATAAGGTCAAAGACGACTACCGAATAACAGTTTTCGTGCGTTATCCCAAGAATTGTTAGAACTTTTAGAACATTAACGTGTCAATAATGACATACCCCTCCCAAATACTGAAAAGGGTGTGAAGCTGGTTGTTTGAAACCCCTACCCCTTATCAGACAGAAATAAACTCAAATTGTCTACCCATTTTCAGACAAACTGTGGTATTTGACACCCCTTTCCAGACAGTAATCATAAGGGTACCAAGGGAACAGTAGGTGGACTTGAAAGAAAAAAAATTAAAATGCTTTGACGATCAAAATGAAGTTACAGAAAGAAAAAATCAGCTTCATTCTCCTGACTCAAGCTCTAGAGACAGTCTTTGGGAAATATGGGCCCCTTTTCAGACAGAACAAATATATCCCTTTTCCCTTTTCAGACAGAACAAATATATCTCCTTTTCCCTTTTCAGACAGAACAAATATATCTCTTTTCCCTTTTCAGACAGAACAAATATATCCCTTTTCCCTTTTCAGACAGAACAAATATATCTCTTTTCCCTTTTCAGACAGAACAAATATATCCCTTTTCCCTTTTCAGACAGAACAAATATATCCCTTTTCCCTTTTCAGACAGAACAAATATATCTCTTTTCCCTTTTCAGACAGAACAAATATATCCCTTTTCCCTTTTCAGACAGAACAAATATATCCCTTTTCCCTTTTCAGACAGAACAAATATATCTCTTTTCCCTTTTCAGACAGAACAAATATATCCCTTTTCCCTTTTCAGACAGAACAAATATATCTCTTTTCCCTTTTCAGACAGAACAAATATATCCCTTTTCCCTTTTCAGACAGAACAAATATATCCCTTTTCCCTTTTCAGACAGAACAAATATATCCCTTTTCCCTTTTCAGACAGACAGGGTAAAATAACATACCCCTTTTAAGACAGAAGTGGTAATTTCGGGACCCTCTTTTGGCGGCACCACCGCCCGAGGCCCCGAGGGACGGTGGTGGCATATATATATATATATATATATATATATATATATATATATATATATAGCACTTCAATGTGAGTACCCCTCCCGGGCATAACTCCCTTTTATGCCAACTGGCATGAAATGACACCCCAGTCGGACAGCACATATATTCCCGTATAGCTTTTCTATGGGATAGATTTTCAAATTTGCCATAGTACATGTAGCTATAATACAATATATACCGTAAATATATATGTTTGTCCGTATTTAAATGATTCTTTTTATCCGTTATTCCTTAACATCCTCGTATATTCAACGCCATGTTAACCAGGAGAAAACAATCACCGCACCGGCGCATCTATGAAAAAAAGGCCGTTGACATTTTTCGTCTTCTTGCGAATATTGAACATTCTCCCGTAAGACATTATAACTATCCAATCATAATGGCAATTCGATTGAACTCAGATTCTAGTTGTATATTTATTTTTCTTTAATTGTTTAAAATAAGTATTTAATTATTTATTTTTCATATATGTTATTCTATTTTGTTATTGTAGAGTGAATTGACTAAGAAGGTCAGACTGAATAAAATTATTATAATTTGTCAGATTGACTCAAAAGATTACATGTCACGTGATGTTGCAACCTAATTCGTGACAATGAAGTTCATAAATGACGTTAATATTTCCATGGCAACGCTACCGAATCAGCATAAATTGTTCACAGTGATGGCCCCTCATCAATCCGGAATAAAATAAAGTTATAATCGCCATGGTTACGCTCTTATATCGGTGATCACGACTAAACACTTGGGTAGTACCGCCACTCCCGTGTTTAAGGTCGTTCGTGTTTATCGCGATTCATTTTGGTTTAAAAACTTGAAAATGTACACAATTATTGATTTGGCCATATGAGTACCAATCTTGTCACTACATAATACTTAGTTTTAGGGAAACGCTATGCCGTATGAAACAATGAAAAATTGCCCCAAAATTAATATTTGCATGAAAATGTCACCTATGTTTGTCGGAAAGTAGTTCGGTAACTATATATTGTTATCTGCGTACGGTGAACAAAAGCATACTAGTAATTTTAACCAATATTGTAAATGTTGAAGAAACATGATAATTTGTTTTAATGATAACCTCCTACCTTAAGTGCGACACAAATCCAATTTTTTGCTCGATATGTGACTTAGAATTGAAACGTTCGATCTCATTTATGTTAGTAACAGAGCTCGTGACCTGACTCACAAGAGAGCGGAAAATCTTAACTATGACGTCATTGTCCCGTAGCAGGTTTTATTATTAAGCTGAAAAATTGAATACGATTTTCTTATTAATATAAGTAGATGATGACCCCACTTAAATGTAGGTGTACGTGTATAGACTCTATTCTAATGAAATGCCATGGGGTTATGCGTGTTAACAAACGGAGTCGGCATGCTATGAGGTGTATAGTGATCCTGCCACTAAAATTAAAAAAATGTTTAATCTCTATTGTGATTAATATAACTCACAATGTAATAGGTGATTTTCCGTTCAACTGCGAGATCTCGCAATTTGCGTGAAAGATGCGCGCCGAACGTCAGCCGCGGTTGTTGAATCCCCCGCGGTTGTTGTCGCCACTGTGACGCTATGGCCTTTGTTTGTTTTGTTTTTACATTCGATTTCACGCATAACGCGGGATCTCGCAGTAAACGGAAAATGGTCTATTATAGGTCATCCAATCAATCAAGGGATAGATTAAAAAACAATTATGTTCATAATCCTTACACAAACACACACCCAATCCTATGTAGTAAATTATTTAAAAAAAAATCTTATATTTTATATATTTTTACCAAACCATACCAAATCAGATTGTCATGGGAGTAGTAGTACAATATGATATGATAGTACAAAATGCAGAGGTGGTATCACGAAATTTTGCATGACGGGGCGAGATCTGCTCACCACTTTGCGCCGTAGGCACGACCTTAATAGAAGGTCCGGGGCATGCACCCCTTAACAATTTTGAAATATATAGACTCTCTGAAACGCTATTTCCTGCATTTTGAGGGGCAAATTTTGCTGACACAAGGCGTTTAAGCTTGATTGGGAGGGGGGAGCCCACCAACATTTTTTCGAGTGAGCGACCGTCCCCTCTATCGCCGCCACTGCATATAGATACGGTAATAATTGTCTGGTTTTGAAGGGGCTAGATATTCCGGAATAAAATAAATATAAACACGACATGGTTTGGGTGAGTGTGGTGTTCTCGTATGTGAAGAAATACAAGTATGTTGAATTTAAAAACAATCAACATCATAAGCGACACACAATATGGTCACTAGTATTCGGTCATCGCCTCACCTCCTCGCAGACCCTGTTCGTCCTCAAGTATTATATATACAGGGTAGCAACTGGTAAAAACGTGTTAAAATTGATCTGCGGTTCAGATAATCTCTAAAAGTTACTAAGCATGCTAACAACGTATACATCATTTAAAAGTTAAGATATAAGCGAATACGACAGTGTATATTGGTATATGCTATACCATTGATGGCACCGCCATCGGAAAACAGGCTGTGGTGTTCTGAAAAAGTGAGAGGTTGGACAAATAGGGTGTTTGATAAAGAAGAATGTCGGACAACTGGTGTGTCGGACAACTGAGATGTTGTACAACATCGTGTCGGAAAACTAAACTAAACTGAACTATAATTACGTGGTTCAAACATTTTTATATAGAGAAGACAAAGTACTGGACCGAAATCGCCACGAATTTCAAAATCTGTGATTATAGCACATATTTTCTATATGATAGTTCATATTTGGGAATATTTCGTAAAGAGTTTGTTAGCACTTTCTGGCATATTGCTCATATCAGTCGAAAACGTTAATTTTTGAAACTTGAGTTACAATAAAGGGTGTCAGGATCAAAAGTCCACCAGACCAAAAGACAAGTATCAGGCAAGACAAAATGTCCCCCATACGATCAGTCATACTCTGCCGGGACTGTCCGTTATTGACATGAATATTATTGTTTCTTTACGAGCACGTTGCATGCCGCATAGCGTCGAAGTTCAAAGTGATCTGAAAGCTAACAGACAGGTGTATATATTATTATTTTTTAATAATAATATTTTCATTACGTTTGCAGAAACAAATATTTTAACATTTTGACCATTGAAAGCTGAGTTTCCGAATAGACAGTCCAGTTTGTTACAATGAGAAAGTTTACAACGCTGTTGAGTTGTTGGATTTATTCACATTGTTGTATTATCTTTAAAGCGGGAGGGTCGTCACCTGCGCACGCGCGGGAATTGAGTTCCAATTGACGATAACAACACACCCTAAAAACGCAAAGGCCATCTGACGCATGCACAGTTGACGACTCCTCTGCTTTAATATGTTCTTGTGATAACTCTGAGTGAAAGTGTATTGTGCGTATTTAAAAGTTGCGGAGTGAAGTGTTAGTTCCAGTACGCCGTATCCCGTGATAGCGATCGCAGAGGCTGAACTGTTGATTTGATTTGCAT